GCTTCCACACTGTGGTCCATCATTAGGGGAAACAAGACAGGAACTCAAACAGGACAGGAACCTGGAGGCAGGAGCTGATGCAGAGGCCGAGGAGGGGTGCTGCTCACTGGCTTGTTCCTCATGGCTGCTCAGCCTGCTTTCTGATAGAAACCAGGACCAGCAGCCCAGGGATGCACCACCCACAGTGAGCTGGGCCCTCCGCCATCGACCACTAATTAGGAAAAGGCCCTCCAGCCAGATCTTACTGAGGCATTTTCTTAATTGAGGTTCCCTCCCCTTAGATAACTTTGTGCCAAGTTATCGTAAAACAAACCAGCAGAGTAGCCCAGGCTGGCCTGGGACTCATAGAGATCCTCCTGCCTCTGAGTGCTGGGATTAAAGGCATTGGGAACTTTGTCAGTGGTTTTCATGCTTGTCTGCGTATTGGAATTATCTGGGGGAAAGGAGGCCTGGGTCTCGTGGAGAGGCCTGAGCCTCAGAAGTGTGAATCTGATAAGAGAGACTCTCTGACTCAGGTGGACTAGTATCCCAAAAATCCCTTCCTAAATAGAAACTATCATAAGCCGAATGAACCGAGTACCCTAACCTACCCACATGCTAGCACCATCCAACAGTACCCCACGGGGTCAGCTGTCTCTCCTCAGGACTCAGGCCTGCCTGGGCTGGCTGCCACTGGCCAGCATCGTGAGGGAGGATCTATTGATCAGTAGACCAGGAAGAAAAACCAAACCAAACTTCCAACTTCCTATTTTCACACCATCATAAAGTAGAAAAATCTTGTGTTGATGAATATTTGTACCAAAGACAGCCCCCCCCCCCTTCCCCTGCCCGGCCAAAACCCATCTCTAAACTTGGCTGTGCAAATAATCGCCCATTTAAGATTTGGGTTAAGGGGCCCAGTTCAGGTCAAATTGTATGTGGTCTGAGCTAATAGCTGCTAGTACCACTTGAATAAGCCAAGTTAGTTTTCATTGAGTTGGTAACGTTAAAAACACTTTGTGTGTGTGTGTGTGTGTGTGTGTGTGTGAGAGAGAGAGATAGGGTTTCTTTGTGTAGTCCTGGCTGTCCTGGAACTCACTCTGTAGACCAGGCTGGCCTCGAACTCACAGAGATCCACCTGCCTCTGCCTCCTGAGTGCTGGGATTAAGGGCGTGCGTCACCACAGCTGGCTCAAGATTTTAAATTTTTTTTTACTTCTTGTGTTGCACATATGTGTTATGTACCACATGCATGCAGTACCCAAAGAGTCCAGAAGAGGGTGTAGGAGCCCCTGGAACTGATGTTACAGGCAGTCATGTGCCACCATATGGGTGCCCAGAAACAAACTCCGGACCTCTAGAAGATGAGCCAATGCTCGTAACCCCTGAGCCATCTCTCCACCTGCCTGAATTGATAAGCTCTGATTGATTCAACAAAGAGTTTGATTCCTTAAAATCATGTGGTCACGGCCTCAGGCCAGCTGGGTTTCGGAGGAACCATGTATAATTTTGTCAGTATTTAGACTCTTTGACATAATACATCACCCTGGGAATACACATTACTTAATTCCATCCCAGGCAGTTAGTAAGAAACTAGTTATTAAATTTAAATGCTGATAGTTCCACATAGGTTTGATTAATTCATCCTATAAAAATTTGATCCCTCAGATTCATACAGCTACAGCCTAAAGGAAGTCAGGGCGGGTTGGGGAGCCACTCGATTTTAAACATAATTTACAGTATAAATTTCTACAGCTGCACACATCACTTCCTTCCACCCTGCACGTTTGCTGACAAACCGGTTATTAAATCCAAACGCTGCCGATGTTAGGATGAGATGCACACTGCCTCGTGCCTTTGATCTCCTCCTGGGGCGGCCGCGGCGGCCTGGACCCACTGTGTCTACTAACCTCTGCAAAACATGGGTGGATGTTGGGGCCACCTGGTGTGGGGGATCAGCGCCCACCTTTTACAGGATTCCTAGGAGGAGGAGAGAGGAATAAGGAACTTCTAGACAGAACGATAGGCCTGGCCGAGAAGAAGAAAAAAGATAGAAACACAGGGTAGCTTCGGGAGGACCTGGGCCATTTCTCAATGGCCCAGAACTTTCTTCAAAAGAGCTAATCATAACAATGCCAAGGGGCGAGGCAAAAGGCCTCCCCCTGGTAGACACAGCCAAGGGCAGACCCTTCCAAACACCTGGTCCCGGGCCCACGGTCCAGTCACCCCCTTAGGCAGCCCTGCTGGTGAAGCAGGCTCAGACCTCACCAGGAAACCTCCGTGACCCCCAAAACTTGGCTCCCGAGCTATACTGTTTGTCTGATGAACTGCCTGTGGGAGGGGGGGACACTTGAGCCAGCTTCCTGTTAACAGCGTCCAGCAGTGGCTTGAAATGCTGTTAGAAAAGGTCCCTAAGGTCCCTTTAATCCCAGCATTGGGGAGGCAGAGGGAGGAGGATCTCCGTGAGTCCCAGGCCAGTCAGGGCTATATAGTGAGACCCTGTCTCAAAGAAAGGAAGAAAAAGAAAAGTCCCTGAGACCCCACCTGCCTAGAAGCTCTGCATCTGGCCCTGGGTTTGGGATCCAGGAGCCATTTCTACTGTCTGTGATGTAACCACAGTTGGATTGACTGAATCAGGCTGGCCTCTAGCCACTAAGATCTGCAATAGTTAGAAGTTCAAAACCAGGGAATTCTATGTGTAGGGACTGTTTTGCCCTCTGCAGAATACGCTATGTATTAGGATCTGTATTAGTCAGGGTTCTCTAGAGGAATGGAACTTATAGAATATATACATATACATATATATACATACATATACATATGTATATATATATATTCTATAATAAACTTATGTATGTGGATTTATTATCACTGACTATGATCCAGCTAGTCCAACAATGGCTGTCTACCAGTGGAAGGTTCAAGAATCCAGTAGTTGTTCAGTTCACAAGGCTGGGTGTCTCAGCTGGTCTTCAGTATACGCTGGAATCCTGAAGAAGTCGGCTCTAAGGCCAGCGAAGGAACGGACTTGTCGTGAGAACAAGCGGGCAGAGACAGAGGGCTTCCTTTTTCCATGTCCTTGGTATGGGCTGCTACCAGAAGGTATGGCCCAAATTAAAGGTGGCTCTTCCATGCCGGGCGGTGGTGGCACACGCCTTTAATCCCAGCACTCGGGAGGCAGAGCCAGGCAGATCTCTGTGAGTTCGAGGCCAGCCTGGGCTACCAAGT